TCTAACGAAAATTACAGAGTTACTCAGTAAAATCGGAAAACCATATCGTAAATCGTTCATTTGCAAAGGATCAGTTCATCCTATGGAACTGGACTGTTCCTGTTGCCAAACATCAATCCATTGTCACTCTTCATGCGTTTCATACAAATTCCATTGTTTTCTAACTCTTCCTTTCTTGATCTTCCCCCCATATTATGCTACCAGACTTTACGTTGACACACGCTATATACTACTTATAAGTAGTTCGCACCACAGCACCACACCTCTACTACTATGGGATTCGAATTAACGATTATATGTCTGTGCTAATGTGGTATGGCAACATGAACTGATGTACATACGTACGAAGTTCAACGTTTCATTTGACTGACTGACTTACTTATACTGCATTCATTGAACAATGAGAATATGAAAGAATTTCCTACAACTTACAGAAGATTACATAATTAGGACTTCAGAATCATTAGTATGATTACTGATCTGGTGTGATGAATGATTATAAAAATGGGTTGCTTCTATGAATTCAAGCAAATAGTTGACCACATTGTGTAACATCAGCGTTGTTAGATATGGAATGTTGGATATACAGTACTGTGATGCGATTAATTCAGATCTATACTTACTTGTTCATAAAGATTATTTCAATACTGATAATCGATCAATATCTCTATTAATTAAAGTTGTCCAACCTGTCTATGATGACTAAGTAGATGGTATTATTTTTAAAAAAAAGTAACCATGTCAGCTTTACTTTTCTTTACTCAGTCCTAACATTGGAGTTCAATAATGTTCAGTATGAAAAACTGTTTAAAAACGTGGTGTTCAATCCACCGAAACTCGTGTTATATGATGGTTTTTTTTAATATAATGATCCGGAAACACATGTTGATAGAGAAATAGAAGTTTGTCGCAAACATCGACCAGTAGTCAACTCAATGAAGTATTCAAGACACTGATCTGACATGTCTTAGTTTTGTCACGTATAGATCTAAATTACTCACATCACACTACTGTGTATCCAACTTTCCATATCTACCAGGCTGATGATACGATGATGTCAACTATTGCTCGGATGAACACAGGCAAGCCGACTTCAATCCATATCATCTGATGTCTCTAGTTCAGTCAGTTACAACATAGAACTTCGTGCATGCGTACATAAGTTCAGGTTGCCATACCACATTAGCACACAGGGATCGAATTTTCAGTTTGAATCCCATAATTGTGGTGATAGTAGAAGGATTAGCGGTTATGGAGAAGATTAGGGTTCGAAGATATGATTCGAGAAGTATAATTCAATGAGATAAAGTTAGAGAGAGAAAGATATAGATAGTGAGGAATTCATAAGTTTAAAAATTGAGAGAACACAATGAATGGACGCACCTGCGCCATTGCAAACCATTTTAAGCCATGTTATTCATGGTTTAACCAACGGTGACCCAAACCAGGTAACCTACATCTACCGACATGGCTCGGTCCACTTGTCAGTGACTTGGTGGATTTGTACCATGTTTTGTTTCGACCGTCCCTAGTCCCTTGGTTTGTTTCAACACACTCCTACCCCACAAGACAGGTCGTCGAGGCAGTCGGTGTTTGAACATTCGTAACACATGTCCCAACCAACTCAACTGATGAAGTTTCAATACTTCATCTATTGACCTTCCATCCTTACCTCTTTATTACTCGTTTCCTAATGACAGCATTGCTAACTCGGTTATCCCAGAATACACGAGCAACGCTTCGAAGACATCTATATTCGAATACTAACAACTTACGAATGTCTTCTACTCTTACCGGCCATGTTTCGCATCCAAAAAGCAGGATGAAGCGAGCTGCTGCACAGTAGATTCGTCCTTTGGTTAGCAAACGGATATCTTGCCTAGGCCATGAGTGACGCACGTTGGCAAAAACCAGGTTAATGTACTTCTTTGGTACACTTTTTAATGATAGACACTGCCAGAGAACCTCATGAACAACAGAGTCGAATGCTACCTTACGGTCGAGAAATACTACTATTCTGGGACGTCTAAACGAGTGTCTAACTACTAGGATCTGACCTAATGTCAATATCTGGTCTACACAGCCATGTCCAGGTCGAAAACCGGTCTGGTTTTCTCTAGTCTCCTCTTCACGAGCTCGAAGTGTTATTGAGGTCAATATTTTCAATGCTATATTAGTTAGACTTATTCCCCTGTGATTGTCACTAGAGGACTTTTGTCCTTTCTTGTAGATTGCGACAATTAGCGACTGAGACCAGTCAGATGGGATTACGTCCAGTTCCCAGATTCTACCTAAGGTCTCAGTCAACACCATCAACACCACCATCCTTAAACATCTCAGGGTTAAGCCTATCAGGACCTGCAGCTCGTCCTCGTTTCAGATTTGCTAACGCTTTTTCAACGTCATTAAGACTGGGGGGACTTAGGTCGATTTGCCATTCAGGACGACTGGGGATCGTGGGTAACCGAAGTGTGGCTCGAGGCCAGTTGAACTGATCCCTAAAGTGTTCTGCCCATCGCGCGGGGTGATAAAGTAATGTGAGTAGAGCTAGTCGTGAAAATAAGTTGGTTGTTAGGGGGTGTAGGAAGGACTTGATAGTTTCTATTTTGGTCTCTTGTACTGGTACGGGTATTAGGGTGGTTGTCACTTCCAAGCTGCCCGCGTCGTGGAAGGGTGTTTCTTGAGGAACATGAAAAGGAAAGTAGATTATTTTTGGTTTTGACGACCTTGGAGCGTAACCGCAGAAGCCAAGGGACAACTGCTTGAGGCCGGTCACGCACGGCCTTTTTATTAAAGGTTTTTTGAGTATTAGCTCCACTCTTTTTTAAAGCCCTTATTAGGCAGCCCTTACTGCAGGAGACCTCAATCCATGAGGTAGGGTGAGGTGTGATATTCTTAGGGTCGACCTTTTCTTACTCCTTCATTCGTTATGAGAATGCGGCATCGCTGCAGATGCTGGTTGTCCGAAGGAAACACCTTACTGCTGTCATACCTCTCTACAGTGAGCACTACGAATTCGCCCTCAGACCTTGAATAACTGCTTTTAGTCTCATCGTTCTCCAATCGACATGTTTGGTATGGTAGAACCTACATGAATATATGTTCCAGCCAATGTAGCTCGGTTGGGTCATCATGATAGACATGGCTAATCACCACATCAAGGTAACAGCTACGGTCGGTATATATCTATGGTATATGCATCGTATGATATAGGATGATAGTAAGAGATTCAGCCCAGCTTGATGCAAATGTGCTGAAACACACTTATTATACCCTTTGTCTCTTGTCGGGACATGTTTTTTTTTCGCAATAGCGACTATATGACACCCTACCCACTTTACTTGGGGTATCCTCCATGTGAATCAGGATTTTTTCAAAAATAAATAACTAGATCTCATTATCATGTCAAGTCTATGAACTTTCTTAACTTCCATTCATATAATGCATAGGTGGTGACGTGATTATTATTATTATTATTATTATTATTATTATTATTATTTTCTCAATTTTTTTGTAGTGGTTTATGGTGCTCATCAATAGGCACCAATGATACTGAAATTTTCGTTACACATTCAGGCATGGCTTTTATATACAAACATGCTGATGAAGTAAGCATTCAATGGATTTGTTCAGTTAAATAACATGAATCTGGTTGATTTCTGTTTGTGTCTGTTTGTGTTATATTGCTTGTTACATACTTTCTAACCACTTCCTATAAATCTGAACTACTACTACTGCTACTTCTACTACTACACTCGAAAAAATCTACGTATAGAGAAAGTTAACTGCATTTATAGAGTTATAATTATAACCTTGATCTCTACTAATACAAAGAGCCATTATATTTATAAACAAGTAAGTATTTATACATACATATGATTCAATGAACCAAACAGACTTGATCTCTTCTGCTTCTGCTGTCTTCTTGCTCGAGTAAGTAGTTTGGGCTAAGAAAGGTCACCAGGTAGGTATCACGTTCATTCATATCTCTTGTGCATCCATTACACATCAAAGCGATTTGTCTCTTAGAAAAACAATTGGAAACACATTAGACATAGTAGTACATAAGTGTAACACATACGATTCCTTCTTTCTTCGAAATGTTAGTTTTGCAGAGTATTTTCAGCTTCTTTTTTTTATCTTTCACTGGTGTTCTTGTAACCTTGTCATGGTGTTTTTTTTGTGCGTTTCTTTTTATTTTATTTACTTTCTTATTGGATACAACACTTTGTTGTGTAGTTGACTGATTGGTGTAGAGTCCATTTGTTTGAATGTGTTGCATAGATATAACTATTTTGCTATCGTATTAATGATTCACAGCAGAATGAGAGAGGATTGTCTTGTTAACAGTAAAATGTTATTTGTTTTGTCAAGAATTAGAATGAGTGGAATACGATAACCCTTCTTGATTGATATACAATAAATTTCATTGTCACTTCATTGATTATCGTTTCCAACACTGTAATAATAAAAAGAGGGAGTAGGTCAGGCGATAATTGATGAGAGTGCTCTTGTATTGTCTCTAAGTTAGGTTGATAACGCTAGTACCAACACCTACGCTGTTAATGTCATATACAGATCTAAGTGTTCAACTTTGTGCGACAATATATATGTTATGTTTAATCATACTACACAGTCACTCATACTTAGATGGATTGAGAACATATTGAATCGGTAATCAGACAGAGTAATCTTGTGGTGGCCGGTTTCCGCGTATTCTTAAGCTCGGTAATCAGCTCGTCCAGACAATCGTTACTAAATGACGATTTATAAATCAGAAGGTGAACTCGTAGTGATGAATACGTTTATTTGGGATACACCAAAAAGCGAAGCGGAGAAGCAGTGAATAAAACGAATGAAGCGACGTGAATTGGAGAAGACTGTTGAGCCAACTCCAATAGATAGAGCATGACTAAGAATATATAGTCAGACAAAAATAAGACAGACATGCGACAAGTGAAATAGGCACGCACACACATGAATAAAAGTGACGAATGATTGACATGGTCAAAAGAAAGCGAGACAAGTCATGTGAGCTTATGCAAACCAGACAACAGTAAGAGCGAAAGGTACATATAAGTTGTTGCTACGCCAATGGCTTGGTTAAATAAATTAATCGAAAGGGCTTAACCAAATTAAATGTAAGCGAACTGGAATATATTTGGAGGCACTACAATCTGAATGGTGTGGTCGTATTTAGTGTAAACTCTTTCTAATGTAATCTGTCTAAGCACTACTGCTTGTGCATCTTTTCCTTGAATAAAGTTTAGAATAATAGTAGGACATAAAGTTTTCACCTGCACACCCAATATCTGATCTCTTCTAAACCTAAGTAACTTTTTTACGTAGTCATTGTTTGATTGTATTGTGCTCTTGCAAAAGCATATTGTTGTTTTTCATTCTAGAGTTATGGGGATCATTGTTTTACATTGAAATCATGAATCATTCATCGTTAGATCACTATTAGAAACCTGGAAGCACTGGATGACCTCATCAGCAATAAGCATTCACAATTCCCGTTACTCGCAGGATTTGAACTGTTACACCTGCACGTAAACACGTCAACTTGATATACTTGAACTATTAGGAGTATACCTAAGTCGGAATACGAGAGTGAGGATCGAGAGTCCGGTGACATGACATGCTACTCTAATCCGACTATCCCGACCCCCATATTGAATAAAAATAAGAAGACTTGATATGAAGTAGAACCTGTATTCTACAAACATCCAGAAAGTACGAGGTTCGAGTCCAGAAGAGAAACAGGATTCAGGACTAGGGACCGGGTCCCCTGATCCTGGTCCTAAAACGTTACAGATAATGCTTATTTACACATTTTGCTCGAATAGGAAACAGCATCGAAGTCTGTGACATTGACAGTTAAGACGACCACTATAAGACAACATTAAAGTACCTGACATTGATATCTAGTACGACTATAAAATTGACCAATACGAATAGACCAATAATTCTCTTAGAATATTGGATGAATATCCTAACATGAACCCAGAATTTTCGGTCTTGCTCGCTGCTGATGAGCCGGTTATCAGGAAAAACCAATCGTCTAGTGCTTCCTGGTTTCTCATTTTGGTCTAACAATGACTAATTGATAATTTCAATGTAATTTTGTTGTTTGTAAACTATATTTCTTTCTTCATACGAATCTTTTGAATTCATCATCACCTATACTTTTCTCTTTTCAAATTTGTCTCGCTGAATTGTACTTCTCGAATCATATCTTTGAACCCTAAACTTTTTCATTACTCCTGATACTTCGACTATCGCTACCACTATGTGATTTGAACTGACAGTTGTGTCACTGTGCTAATGCGGCATGGCAACCTGAACTGATGTATTTACGTACGAAGTTCTGCGTTGTATCTGTCTATCTGTTTGTCTGTCTTACCAATGAAATATACATATATTTAGATGAATCGAAATGTCTTAGTGTGTATTGTTTTCTGATATTCATTAAGCTGGATATTTTGACATCGATAATATGTGATCAATTGTCATAGTTGTTCCCATAGAACACTCCAAATTCCATGTTTTTCGATGAATGAATAAAAGCTCACACTCATTGGACTAGATGTAGACAGACAGACAGACACAACGCAGAACTTCGTACATAAGTACATCAGTTCACCTTGCCATGCCCCGTCAGCACAGAGACGCAACTGTCAGTTCAAACCCAAGAGTGATAGCGATAGTAGAAGTATTAGCAGTAATGGAGTAGATTAGGGAGTGAAGATATGATTCGAGAAGTATAATTCAGTGAGATAAATTTAGAAGGAGAAAGATAGAGATAATGAGGAATTCAGAAGGTTAGAGTTTGAGAGAACACAAAGAGTGGATGCACCTGCGCCATTGCAAACGATTCTGAGCCATGTCGTTCAAGGTCTCTAACCATCGGTGACTATCGTCTCGCGGACCCCAACCAGGTAGTCTACATCTACCAACATGACTCAGTCCACTTGTCAGTGACTTGATGGATTTCTGCCATGTTTTGGTCTGGCCTCCCCTAGCTTTCTTCCAACCTACTCCTACACCACAAAACATAGCTCGTCGAGGCAGTCGGTGGTTAGGCATACGTAACACATGTCCCAACCACCTCAACTGATGAAGTTTCACCACTTCATCGATTAATCTGCCATCCTTACCTAGTACTCGTTTCCTAACGACAGCATTGCTTACTCGGCTGTCCCACGATATACGAGCAATGCTTCTTAAACATCTATGATCGAATACTAGTAACCTACGAACATCTTCTACTCTTAACGGCCATGTTTCACAGCCATATAAGAGAACGGAACGAACTGCTGCGCAGTACACCCGCCCTTTGGTTAGCGAACGGACATCATGCCTACGCCATAAGTGACGCAGGTTGGCAAAAGCCAATCGAGCTTTCTGTATCCGAGCTGAGATTTCGTCAGTCACCAGACCGTCAGCACTGATGAGACTTCCCAGATAAGTGAAGCGATCAACATGCTCGACTACTTCACTCCCTATCACTAGTTCAGGTGCCAATGCAACCCAGTCTTGAAGGAACATTTTGCATTTCGAGGGGGAAAACCGCATCCCGAACATGCTCGCATTGTTGCTTATGGTAGTCAGAAGACTCTGCATTTTGTCAGCGTCTTCACCGAATATAACTATGTCATCGGCATATTCTAGATCAGTAAGCGACTTTCCCGGTAGAAGGTCAACCCCTGAAAAATCTGACGAGCTTAATGTTAACTCTAAGAGGATGTCTACGACAAAGTTAAACAAGAATGGAGAGAGTGGACAGACCTGACGGACACCACTTGATGTAGAGAATTCAGATGACAGTTCGCCATATGCTCTCACTCGACCAGTGGTGTTCGAGTAAAGGGCTTGTATAAGGTTAATGTACTTCTTTGGTACACCTTTCAGTGACAGACACTGCCACAGAACCTCACGATCCACTGAGTCGAATGCCGCCTTAAGGTCCAGGAAGACAACTATTGTCGGACGTCTAAATGTGTGTCTGTGTTCCAGGACCTGTCGTAGTGTGAAGATGTGGTCTATACAACCACGTCCAGGTCGAAAACCAGCCTGGTTTTCTCGAGTCTGCTCTTCACGAGCTCTAGTTAGACGTCTAAGTATAATCGAGGCTAACAATTTAGAAACTATATTAGTTAAACTTATTCCCCTGTGATTGTCACAAGAGGACTTCTGTCCTTTCTTGTAGATTGGGACAATTAGCGACTGAGACCAGTCAGATGGGATTACGTCCATTTCCCAGATTCTACCTAGGATCTCGGTCAGTTTAACCGTTAAAACTGGACCACCATCCTTAAACATCTCAGGGGTAAGCCTATCGGGACCTGCCGCTCTACCTCTCCTTAGATTTCCTATAGCTTTCTCAACTTCATGTAAACTGGGAGGAATTAAATCGATTTGCCATTCAGGATGACTGGGGATCGTGGGCAACCGAAGAGTGGCTGAAGGCCAGTTGAACTGATCCCTAAAGTGTTCTGCCCATCGATTCAGTCTCCTGGATTGAGAATAAATAATAGTCCCGTCAATTTCTGAGATAGTCTCACTTACATTCGGGTTCCTAATACCGGTTTCTTTGATAAGGCGGAAAAGTTGTCTAGTGTTGCCTATCGCCGCTGCCTTTTCCATCGCTTTTGCTTTCGCCACCCACCACTGTTCACGGTCGTTACGTAGGCTTTTTATGAGTCTGCGCCTAAGCTGACTACGCTCTTCATCATGTTCAGAGTCAGGTGGGATGCGTTTTCGAGCATCCATCAGTTCGGTGGATGCGACTGAAATCCACTGCTTCATCCTAGCCTTGTGGTTTACCTTGCTAGCAGATACCATTGCTGTTTCCACAGCCTTCTTGATATGATTCCAACCTGCTTCTGGATGGGAATCACTTGCATGGCCGCCTAACTGTTTTTCTAGTTGTTCCTGAAATATTTTCTTAGCTTGATTATCATCAAGTGAAGCCCTAAGAGGCTTCCTTACGGTGTCTTTCCTACGTCCAGCAAGCCTCAAACAAATACGTGCTCGCACTAGGGCATGATCCGAATCTAAACATGTGCCCCAGAACGAGCGACAGTCCTCTATCGAACCCCTCCATCGGTGGCTGATGGCGATATGATCTAGTTGTGTCCAACGTTGAGACGACTTCGGGGGTCGCCAGGTCAAAAGGTGTTTTTCCTTATGCTTAAAATTAGTGTTTGCCAGAAATAGTTGGTTATCTGAGCACAGTTGCAACAGACGGTCGCCATTGTCTGTTCTTTGAGCCGCGACACCATAACATCCACCTAGGTGTCTTTCATTTTCACTTAGTCTACCTACTTGTGCATTGAAGTCACCAGCCATTATAACTATATCAGAGCGCTTAACTTTTTGGAGAAGGTCCGAAAGCTTTCTGTAGAACTCATCTTTTACATCATCTGGGATGCAGTCAGTGGGGGCGTAGGCTGATATGACGAAGAGGCAACGACGAGTGTCCCTATCTTTCCGAGTCCTTACTGTCCCGTTGAGTCGGACAGCGCACAAGCGACTATCTACAGGGATCCAGTCAAGGAGAGATTGTTCTGCCCTACGACTCAATGCTATACCTACACCGGCGAGGCCCCTAGAAGCAGCATCAGGGCTACCGGATACACGAAGGGTAAATCGAGCTGCTTCTTTATCTTGACATGGTGAGGTCAAATGAGTGATGCTACTCGGATCCTGTATGCGCGTTTCCGAGACGCAGCACACATCGATGGAACGAGATTCTAAAGTCCTAGCTAATGATGCCTGTTGCCCTATTTGACACAATGTCCGTACATTGAATGCTCCAACATGTAGTTTGGAACGGGGTTTAAGGAGACCAGGAACGACGTTTCGCAAACTCGTATCGTCTGCATTAGCTGTGCACTGTGATAAATGAATGTGAGAAGAGTTAGTTGTGGAGATAAGAGAGGTATTAGGGAATGTAGGAAGGATTTGATTTTGAACAATTTGGTCTCGTGTGCTGTTACAGGTATGAGGGCGGTTATCACTTCCCGGCTGCCCACACCGTGGAAGGTTGTTTCTTGACGAACCTGAAAAGGAAGATGGATTAGTGTTGGTGCGTGACCGCAGAGTCCAAGGGACAACTGCTTGAGGCCGGTCACGCACGGCCTTTTTATGAAACGTTGTTTGAGGATTAGCTCCGTTCTTAAAGGCCCTTAGTTGGCACCCTTACCCAAGGAGACGGAAATCCGTGAGTTAGGGGAGGTGTGACATTTTTAGGGCCGACCTTTTCTAACCCTTCCTTCCTTGTGAGAAGGCAGCATCGCTGCAGATGCTGGTTGTCCGAGGGAAACACCTTACTGCTGTCACACCCCTCTGCAGTCAGCAGTACGACTTCGCCCTCAGACCTTGGGTAGCTGCTTTTAGTCTCATCGTTCTCCAATCGACCTGCCTGGCATGGTAGGACCTGCAGGAACATGTGTTCCAGCCAGTATATCTCGGTTTGGTGATCACGATAGGCAAGCCCGACCACCACGTCAAGGTAGCAGCTTCGGTCGGGGCTAACATGACTCCTTGCACTTGGTAGTGACTTCATGGATTTGTGCCATGTTTTGGTTTGGCCGCCCCTAGCTTTCTCCCAACCTACTCCTACACCACAATACATAGCTCGTCGAGGCAGTCCGGTGGTTAGATATACGTAATACATGTCTCAACCACCTCAACTGATGAAGTTTCAATACTTCATCTATTGATTTGCAAACCCTACCTAGAACTCGTTTCCTAACGACAGCATTGCTTTTACGAGCAATGCTTCGGAGACATGGATGATCGAAAACTAGTAACCTATGGAAGTTCTCTACTCTTAACGGCGGACTAAATGTAAATGAATTATCATTTCATATGCAACTATGATCAATGGTTTCAATTTCCAATTGAATTGATTTATAATTCCTATTGTGTTATTAATATCATCATCATATGTCACATGAAGCATTTATTCTATTTCTGTATTATTTTTTTTCTCATAGAATCGTATTTTACAACGTATTCCAGGATTTCTGGGAACATGTGAAAAAGAATTATGGATCAATTCATTAAGTGTTCTGTACAACTTACAAACAGAAAGTGATCATCAACTGTAAGTTATTTGTTTAGATCAATGTTTGTCATGTAATGTAATGTAATGTTATGTGATGTGATGTAATTATTGTGTACTAGATGTAAGTTTTAACATAACAGTAATTTCAATAGTAAGACAGACTACTTAAGGTATTTTATTCTGTCATTGACAATGTATGTATATTGCCCTGAAAATTTCAATTAAGATCACTCGAAAAGTTTATGATCTCTTTTGTTACGCCTCACAATGCGGGGACATTTTCAATGAGAGACATTTATATCTAGATAGCACAATAGTAATGTGAACATTATTTATGACTCAAGAATTACATTTATGGTAATGAGATTCACTTGTAAATGAAATGAACCACGCATTATTTTTTTTCTGTGGGTTAATGCAAGTTTATAGTTGTGATGTGATAGAGTCACCAGATGTGTTGTTTAGTCAATAAATATGTAAATTTGTTTGGGGACTAGTAGATCCCCAGGAACTGACTTGCTAAAATGTCTTAATATAAAGTTATTTTTGAAATTTCGAATTCTTCTGTTTTGCGCCAAAGACGATTAGTCGATCTGCAGTTTAGATTTGCTACTCGGAAAATCCTTGACTTTCATTGGTTAATGGATTTTTTTTATTGCGCTTTCAAGTGCGTTCCTATCATGATATAAATAAGCTTGAGTTGAGAGCTTACCAACCTCTGCCTCGTGTTTTCTTTGGGTGCCTGTAGAATAATACATTCTCTACTCCCCCTTATCAAGACTTCTCAATGTAGTTAGTTAGCCGAGGCCGGGGACAATTGGATTAGAATAGCCCCTATCTTGTTACTGCATCGTTGATCTTGGTTCTGTTTACTGAGTAAAGTGAACTCGTAATAGCTGCAAGCATATCAAAATTATTCAAATTTAACTAGTCGAGTGATTTTTATGATGACATAATGTCGATTAAATCATCTTCTGATTGTCACAGAGCATTATTACACACTAGAAAAATATTATGTTCGTTACTAAGTATGCTTGAGGCTATTACGAGTCGATAAACTCGAACGAGTTACCAGCGTCCAGGTAAGCTACCTTGAATCCCAGCGGAAGTAAAGAAAGGCTTTGTAAGCGTAGAAGTATATTCTACCCAACAATCACCGTACAATCAAGCATACAACTCTCGTTTATTTAGACATCGTCGAAACGTCCTAGGGACAGTTATGAAAATAGCACACTAAAATACACAGCAGCCAATGACAGCCATGGATTTTCCTGGTGGGAATTGAAATCTCAAGGTCAGCTGATCAGCGCATGCTGGCAAACGTGAAAACCAAAATAAGGCATTTATCAAGCGATTTTCGGGAATCTAACATCCTTAACAAAGAACGCAATGAATATTGAACATTGTGGCAACCATTCGCAAAGTTGAATAAAGAGAAGTAAACGACATAGCAGTCATGAAATTGAAAAGCATCACACTGCTATTTTACTATTCTTCAGATTGTTTTGTCTATATGCAGTAAAGAGGAGAGCAGTGAGTGACTAGTGGAGTTAAACCCTGTCTAGTGTAGTCAGTAACTACCGAACATAAATTGATGTGGTCGCGCAAAACCCCTAAATTCATCAAAGTTAGACATTATCTTCGTTGGAAGCCAGCCCAGTAGTCTAGAGGTTAGACGTTCTTGTGCGAAACCGCATGTCTTCGGCCCGAATTCTGTGAGTAACAGAAGTCGTGGATATGCACTGCTGATGAGTTCCATCTCATGACGAAACAGCCTTCCAGTGCTTCTAGGTTTCTTATGGTAGTCCAACAATGATTGATTGATGATTTGAGTATGTCAAAAAATTAAACCTTATTTTGCACCGGTTCCTTTAAGTTTCTGCATGTTGCCTCCAGCTATTCAATATTTCAATATGTACTATGATTTGGCGTAATCTATTGCAGAGTGCCCTGAAAAAAAACGTTTTGTACTGACTGTTCAGTGAGTGTTAGTGTTGTTTTTTTTTTAATTAAAATAAAATGATCACCTGATGTATTGAGTGTGTGAGTTTCAGTTGTTACAATTTAATTCACTCTCTTGTTAATCAAAAAAATTATAATAAATTCATGCTTCAAAGTATCTATCTTGTTTGTTGTCAGTGTTGTTGTTGTTGTTGTGTATTTTTCTAATTCAGATTATATTTGGCTGAATGTTATTTGACTGATTATTGGAAAATTGTGATTTGTAATGAAAATGGTGCTTTGCTGACTGAATTTACAGTGAGTTAGTTTATGTTGAATATTATTATTATTATTATTCCCATTGTGTAAATGTTAAACACTGTTACTAGTAGTAGTAGTAGTAGTAGTAGTAGAAGTGTGGAGCGAGCTACTTATAAGTAGTATATGACGCGAGTGTAAACGTAATGTCTGGCAGTAGAAGATGCGGGAAGATCAAGAAAGGAAGAGTTAGAAAACAATGGAATTTGTATGAAATGCATGAATAGTGACAATGGATTGATGTTTTGCAACAGGAACAGTCCAGTTCGATATGATGAACTGATATTTTGCAAATGAACAATTTACGATATGGTTTTCCGATTTTACTGAGTAACTCTGTAATTTTCGTTAAATACAATTCGGTTGCCCTCACCTGTGTTCTCTTTCGCTACATTTGGTGTCGCTACCTGCACGAAGGAAGGAGCTCCCGTGGCCGAAGGAGTTTGGGGACGGAGATTTGCCGAGCTTCCTGGCGTAGTTTAAGGCCGGTGGGTGTGAAGGGGCCCGTAGCGGAGTTGGTGGTGCTGGGGACGCTGCGGGGAGGTGAGGCAAAGGCGGTATACGACAGCTTGAACGGTGCCGCCGGAAAGACGGCGTAGGAGACGGTCGCTGGGCGGATGATGACGGAGTTCGACAGCCCAGTGGACAGGGAGAAGGCGCTGCAGAAGTTCCGGTTGGCGAGGCTGTCGGCTGATGGTGACCAGCTGGTGCTTGCTGTGGAGCTCACCAGATTGTTGCGCCGTGCTCTGCCGAATATCGATGAGGAGTCGGGGGCTCAGTTGTTGGGGTCGCAATTTATCGAGGGTGTGCCCGCCGCCGTGTCCCGGTAGCGGGAACTAGTAGACGCTACACATTGGATAGATGCCGTACCCATTCCAGACCAGCGGGCAAGAACAATGACCGAAGTGGTAATCCGGTATATTGTAGCGTGTCACGGAATACGGAAGGTGATATTAACTGACCAGGGTCCCTGTTTTGAAGTGACGAGTTTAAAGCCCGTCTAAAGCAGTTTGGCATCAAGAGGATACTAACTACACCGTATCATCCGCAGATAAACGGGCAAACAGAGAGAAGACAAGCAGGAGCGCGTAAATGCTAGCCAACTGCAGAGATGGTTTCAAGATTATCAAGTGTATGAGTCACGAAAAGCACCAAAGATGACAACGGTACGGCAATCAGAAAGACTACCACGACAGCTTATTAAAAGAGGGGACGATTTTGGTGCGAGCTACTTATAAGTAGTATATGACGTGAGTGTCAACGTAATGTCTGGCAGCAGAAGATGGGGGAAGATCAAGAAAGGAAAAGTGGGGACACAATGGAATTTGTATGAAACGCATGAATAGTGAAATGTCAGACAATGGATTGATGATGGATTGAAGATTTGCAAATTAACGGTTACGATATGGTTTTCCTATTTTACTGCGTCACTCTGTAATTTTCGTTAAATACAATTCGGTTGCCCTCACCTGTGTTCTCCTTCACTACAGTAGTAGTAGTAGTCGTAGTAGTAGTAGTAGTGTCATATTGACCTTCAGTTAAGTTAATATTGATTTGCAGTTTTTGCTATTCACATACAATCCAATCAACATCATTTTTTTCAAATACTTCCAACTTTCTCTATTTATCAAACAGCTTAACATTTCATCAATTAAAGTTACTGCATATTGTGCAAAAAAAGTGTTATCATCCACTGGAGACATTAGTTCACTATCAATTAATCTTGCAATAGCAACATCAGATCATATTTTACGTGTTGTACAATGTGTAATCAATAATCCTGTTGTAATAGGGAATTCAAAACAATGGAAACAGGTAAGATATGTTGCGGTAAAAACCATAACCTATAAATATATATATGTTCCTCCTGTATGTGTACTATACCATGACACAAACCCATGAAGTCATTGACAACTGAACTGAGTCATGTTACTGAATGTAAACTACTTCCTGGTTGTGGTATCTGCATGTGATAATCGTAACTCGTGATTGGCGACTTTGTATGACAGGGTTCAATTTCGTTTGCGATAACGCGGCTACAGTGATTCTTTGTCTTTTCACAAATTCAGTGAATGTTATTTAAGCATGGTTGATTCCTTTGTTAGTTAGTGATTTGAATAAATATCTATGTGAATCAGTTGTGGTGCTTTCTACAATGTATGTCCTATCCATCTCCAGTGATCTTACTTAATTTGTTGCTTAGCTAGAATGTGGTTTCTACTCTCTCACAGTAGTAGGTTGTTGCTTATGGTGTTTGGCCAATGGATGAAGAGTATTTTGCATAGATAATAACAGTTAGTAGACATGTGTATTTTGTGTATGATGCGTCTTGTAGGTTTCCAAGTGGCCGTCCCATACAGTTTAAACGCGTTTCCAATCCGTGTGTTTACATCGGCATCAGATCCACCTTGCTGTCTAGATAAGTGTAAAGGTTTCTACATCCTCCAAAACTTCTCGGTCAAGTGTGATTTGTTTGGTGCATGTTTTGTTGTATCTGAGTACTTTGCTTTTTTCCTTGTGTCCGTTGGGACTCACTGATGCAGTGGCCTTCTTCTCCTGAATTTGTTATTCCATGTGGGATGAAAGGGCTTGATCATCTGCGAAATCCAGGTCATCTAGCTACATATAGTTTTCCATGGTATCCTTTACTTCTCCTCAGATTTTAACATCATATACCGAGAATAAGTAGTAAATGAAATAATCTCGTGTCGCACACACGTTTACGTGATGAAAAATATTTTGTCGGCAAAACTTACCTAATCCTTTATGCTATCATTTCCATTAACTTTTCACCGTTTACGGAATGATATTTCTGTACGGTATCTAGGGAAAAATTTGAAGTTATTTCTTCTTAGATAAAAGAAGAACACTTTAGCCATACGCGCATCCATAATCTGATTGGCATCTGGTTGTTGTATGGTTTTGTATTTCACAGTTAGCAAAACATTTTTTTAAAAATCAATAATTCGGTTTCTTTCGATTCATCATTTCAACTGTAATTATTAATTGAAGAGTCACTATGGGTGATCATGCAACACCGTCAGTGAGTGGTGATAGATCGGTCTCATTGTTTGACTTTATTCATTGTAATCTTGTACATTGATAACTACCTCATTGAAATCATGAATCGATCAATGTTCGCGCGCGAGACCGAAGGTCGTTGGTTCGAATCCTGTGTCGGTGAAGGAATCGTGGACACACACTGCTGATGAATAGGTCCCATACCAAGATGAAACAACCGTCCAGTGCTCCCAGGTTTCCTATGGTGGTCTAACATTGATCGATTCATAATTTCAATGAATGTTGAAATTATCGATCTAATAAGATCGGGAAAACAATATGAATGCTACTTGACCAAAGCGATTGATTCTGAGCCTCATCATTAAACCTTTTTCAATCATTAATCAGAATAATCATTCAAACTGGAACAATGTTGTGTAGCCTGTACACCTGATGACTTCTTGATTCAGATCAACTGTAAATGATGCTCATGCTGTTCACTTTAAATCTCTCATTATTATTATTATTATTATTGTTACAGATTGCTATTTATCCAACTGAAACAGAAATCACTCAACTATTCACTCTTGATGATAGTCAATTTAAAATTCTTGCCGGTGATCGTCAAGGTCAAATTCATTGTTACGTATTATTATGATTATGATATTTTATGAATAAATAAATTTTTTTTATAGTTTTTTTCTAGATAAACTGAAATTGTGTATTTTATTTTCTTGTTTTTTCAAAAAAATTAATTTTTTCATAATTTTTTTTTATCTTTTTTTTGTATTCTTTAACTTGTTTTATTTTATTATTTCTGAAATGATCATGTGTATGAATACCTTTTTTAGTAATAGATGTGTGATTGAATTGTCTAGTGCCATTTTCCCCTAAGTGATCATTTATCTTAATCATGAACATACTTGTTTTGTTTTTTTCAAAATAAATTGATTTGATAAAAAATTAGCTTTATTGACTTAGTGCATGAGTGAGGACCAGAGTATGACAATCGATTGGATTTCGATACTAATTGTTATCATGATTCGATCGATCAATCAATGTTAGACCCAACATTAGAAACCTGGAAGCACTGGACAGCTATCAAGTTCTGGTATGGGACTGATCAGTGACAATGCGCATCCATGACTCCTTCAGCTCGCAGAATTTGAACTGAAAACCTTCGGTCTTGCTCGTGAACGCTTAACCTCTGAACCACTGAGCCGGTATCTCATAGTGTTAATGTTTAACTTCAATCAATTCATGGAGTTGTGCAACTTCATAAACTATCTTCGGTAGTTACCATCTACACCCGAATGGGGTTGAACTCCACTGGTCACAACTTCTCACTAGAACTTGGAGAAGACTACTCTCATGGAGTTAGTCTCTAGTGAGCACAAGTAATTAATTGCATTATGGGGTTATGGAGATTGTTAAATTACTCATTGAAATCTCGTGGATGTGCACTACTGATGAGTAGTAGTAGTCCCATACCAAATTGAAACGGCCGTTCAATACTTCCAGGTTTCTAATGATCTAATGGTCTAACATTGATTGATTGATCGATCGAATCATGATATCAATGTATGAATATATTGTAATCTTTTAGCGCTTCAATCGTTGATGATATACAGGCAAGAGATAAAACTGACAAATTCATATCACTTTCAATAATAATATAATCCTTTTAGATATTATATTACTCAATGTTAACTAATTAGCTGAAATTGTGATCACAAAAATAAAGTTCATTATTCAATAATTAATTACATTTTACACTGTTTACACAGTCATATTTGTTTATTATTATCTCTAAAAAATGTAATTGAAAAATCAACTCTACCAAGAGAGAGAGAGAGAATTTGTAGTAGTAGTAGTGATGACTCAGTTTGTCTGTTTTTTTTCTAAATGATCAAAGGTACTTCATTCAATAATGTATATATGTTCATATGTGTATGGAATACACAATGACACCCCTTTGAAAAAAAAACAAATTTGACAATTGTGTAGGATGTGATCATCACCAACATACAGACAAAGAGAATGAACACATACTGAATAAAAAAAACATTTTTATGTATCGAGATAAATTAATCTTTGTACTGTGGTTCAATTGAATTACATACTGGACTAGTGTAGTGTATGGTATGATTAATATATATAACTTGTGGTAAGTGATTAAAGTCGATGAATAATGTGTAAAGTTTTGGAATTGCTTAATTTAGTATTGTAAACCGTATCATAAACAGAAGAGAACTAACTCTGATAGATGTTCTATTCCGGGAGAATAATTCAATGGTGTTTCGACGGAAAACTTAGCCTGGAGCTCTTTCGGGTTTGCCGCTGGTCACAAAGCTCGCTAAAAGAGGAGTGCTGGGTATAGATAGCGTTAGCGACCCGGTCCCGTAGAAATCCAATTCGCTAATAAAAACGCAAACCCGAAGAACTGTTTGCTGGTTGGCAGTCTAGGCTCCATCAGGAGCAACATGCGTAAGTAATTCCGTTGGAACGCCGACTTAGTCATATTCCATTGATTGTTAAAATTTCCTTACTTTTCAAAATAATGACACAGAATAGATTTAGGCATTAAAGCCGAACTATGTGGCTATTACAGCATACATGCAATAATGACACCTAATAAATGAATACAGTGCATGTATCTTATCACATAACAATGATGATAATTAGCTTTCTATCATAATCCGAAAGCATGTAACTGTGACTGAGTCAGATATTTAATGTGTTATGATATGTTCAGCATAACTCCTACACCCAAACTGATATTAACATTGAACAACAACAGCAACATAGAACTTCGTACGTATGCACATCAGTTTTCAAGTTGCCATACCACATTAGCACAGAGATGTGATTGTCAATTGAAATCTCATAGTAGTAGAGGTAGTATAGGTATTAGCAGTAATCAGAGAGATTAGGGTTCGACGATATTATCCGAGAAGTACGATTCAGTGAGATAAGTTTAGAAAGACAAAACTAGAAGTGCTGAAGAATCCAGACGATTAGGGTTTGAGAGAACACAGAATAAATGCACCGGTGGCATTGCGAACGATTTTGAGCCATGTCATTCAGGGTCTCTAACCATGGATTACTATCATCTCGTGGATCGAAAACCAGTAACCTACGAATATCCTCTACTCTGACTGATCATGTTTCGCATCCATATTAGCAGGACAAAGCGAAATACTTTAGAGTAGACTCGTCCTTTAGTTAGCAAATGCATATCTCGCCTACGCCATAAGTGCCGCGGTTTGGCGAAGGCCAATCGAGCCTTCTATGTCCGTGCTGAGATTTTGTCGCACACCAGGCCACCAACATTGATGATACTCCCGATATAAGTGAAGCGGTCGACGCGCTCAACTACTTCACTCCCTATCACTAGTTCAGGTGCCGATGAAACCCAATCTTAAAGCAACATTTTGCATTTCGAGGGGGAAAATCGTATCCCGAACATGCTTGCATTGTTGCTTAGTGTAGTCAGAAGACTCTGCATTTTGTCTGTGTCTTCACCAAATATAACTATGTCATCGGCTTATTCTAAGTCAATAAGCGATTTTCTTGGTAGAAGATCCATTCCTGAAGATTTAGACAAAGAAAATGTTATATGTAGGAGCATGTTTATGACAAAATTAAACGAGTATGGAGAAGGTGGACATCTCTGTCAGACACCACTTGAGGTAAGGAATTACTATGACAGTTCGCCATAAGCTCTAGCTCGATCTGTAGTGTTCGAGTAGAAAGCTTGAAAATGAATTATACAGCCGTCCTTTTCTGAGATAGTTTCGCTAACAGATGGATTTCTAATACAGTTTTCCTTGATAATGGGGAAAAGTTGTCTGTTGTTGCATTTTGCCGTTTCTGTTTCCATTGCATTTGATTTCGCTCTTCATCATGTTCAGAGCCGGGTAGGATGAGTTTTCGAGCATCCTTTAATTCGGTAGATGCTGCTAAGATCCACGGCTTCTCCCTCACCTTATGGTTTGCCTTGCCAGCAGATATCATCACTTCTGTTTCCACAGCTTTTTTGATATCATCCCAAGCTGCCTCAGGATAGGCATCACTTACTACATGGCTGTCTGACTGTCTTTCTAGTTCCTCCTGAAATATATTCATAGCTCCACTATTATTAAATAGAACCCTAAGAGCTTTCCTCGAGGTGTCTTTCCTACGTCTAGTAAGTTGGAAACAAGTCCGTGCTCGTACTAGGACATGATCTGAATTTAACATGTGCCCCAGAAATAGCGACAGTCCTCTATCGAACCTCTTCATCGGTGGCTGATGGCGATGTGATCTAACTGGGTCCAGCGTTGTGACCACTTTGGTGGTCGGCAGGCCACGAGGTGTTTTTCCTTATGCTTGAAGTTAGTGTTTGCTAGAAATAGGCGGTTATCTGTACACAGTTGCAGCAGAGGTCGCCATTATCTGATCTTTGAGCCACAATACCATAAGATCTATCCAGGTGTCTTTCCTTTTCATTTAGTCTACCTACTTGAGCTACGAAGGGTCTAAAGGCGGAGTTATTACCATTGAACAACGTCATAAATTACAAATATCATGTACAAAATTACGCATATGTAGCCTGATAAAATGTGGTTAGACAGGATATAACGTGAGAGATTTATCGTATCACAAATCGTAGCAAGTTTTGTGCAGAACACGTAAGATGTATTTTGATTTGATTTGATTTCAACTTTCTATCAAGAATATATGATAGGCAATAACAACTTACACTAATCACTAACATTAAGAACAGTTTACTTGATACGACGTATTATGCGATGAACTTGTGTCAAAAGGGGGATGTTGAACGAAATTATCACGTCTACAACATGTTTGATGTGCATATTTTTCAATGAGTTGCATTCGTTATTCATATTTGAACATTTATAGTCACTACTGTTTCCTTGAATGACATCATGGCTCAAAACCGTTTACCATAGTGCAGGTGCATTCATTCTTTTTGAGTTCTCTCAAATTCTATCTAACCTTCAGAGTTCCTCATCACCTTTATTTAATTTGTTTTTCCTTTTTAAGTTTATTTGACTAGATTCTACTTCTTGAATAATATATCGTCGAACCTTAATCTCTCCGATTACTGCTAATAAATACCTTTGAATTGACAATCGCATGTCTGTACTAATAATGTAGTATGACAACTTGAACTGATGATGTATATACATACGTACAAGGTTGTAAGTTGTTGTAGACCGACTGTAGACTGACTAACTGTCTCCATATTCTTTCATTTGAATACAATCCAGAAATGAAATAGCAATTTTATCAATATTCGCATATATGAAAGCTAAATTGTCTAACACATCCATTGATGATAACTAACTAACTAACCATACATTCAATTGTTTTTATTTCAATTTCATTTTGTCTAATCTAATACAACATATTCAGTTGAAAAAACAACAACAAGTATAACCTTCAATTAAATTGAACATATAAAAAAAATATACATAAATAATTTCAAAGTGTCATCAGTAAGTATTATTATTATTCCAATGGGTGTATCATGTCATAAATTCAGTGCAGAAATCAATAAAACTAATGATTGATCATAGTTTTATTGTTTGATGTCTTTCAATCGATTCTAATGTTAAACATGTTTAGGTATCAGTTTGTTTTTTTCTGTTTGCTTAACAAACTATTATATATATATATATATATATATATATATATATACAGATGGAAATGCAAGAAAGATCTTAACTCACTATTGGTAAAATCTACTTTACATTCCATAACATCAAGTTTTTGTTTTTTTGAATTACAAAGGAAGTCACATTTGCCTTTTTGTGTGTGTGCGCGCGCTTACACAAGAATATGAAAAACTTTATTATTATTATTATTATTACATATTTGAAATCATCAATCAGTCATTGTTAGACCACAATTAGAAACCTGGACGCACTGAAAGACGGCCGTTTCGTCCTGCTATA